ACAGGTCCTTGATGGTGCTTTGGACAAGCATTTCTGCAACTGCGGCTGAAAAACTGGCACCAAAAGAGAGATTACTAGCATTGTCTAGCTAACAATCTTTGTTACAAAAGTGTTTGGTCTATGGGACATATTGAAAGTCTGCATTGGGACATATAAGAGGCAATAACATTTCAAGAAAATTCATTCTGCAATGGACGAACTTGACACAACAATGAAATTTAGGTGCATCTTAACCCATCCAACCCCCTTCAGCGTTCTTTTCCCTTTCTAATTGTTAAATAAACCACCATAATTAACAAACCTTTGGAAAAGAAAATAAAAATGTACTTGGAATGGAATAATGCAAGAAGTCAGGAAAAGAATTGGTCATCAATAACACATGTGGCTTACCCAAAGTTGGCATCAATCTGGAAAGGGGGATGGGCAGTGAACAAGTTACTGTATAGTCCTCCTTCAAAATCAGCTTCATGATCTGGATCCACCAAGTCAATCAAATGCTTGACCATACGATACGCGTGCTCACTGTTGTGAAGACGTGCCCACAAAGCAGTCTTCCATGTAGTTGACCATCCTGGACCCTCCTCTCCTGTTTTGAAGAACAAAAATTTAAGGGGCAATACTACTTAGTGTTCAAGAAGATCATTCCAATATGTTCAGAAAACCATGTAGGGTTCATTAGTATTCTATATTAGCTAGAACCAGGTAGGGTTTTCTACAGTAAACAATAATCTTATGTAGAATGGCTAGTCACCATCAGATGAACTCTTGGGTAGGGTGATCTTGTAGGTCGACGACATTAGTTTATAGCAGCACTAAAATTAGACTGTCACAACAGGCCAACACAAAGACTTCTGTGCTGGTTTGTTCTCATACTTCTCTTGGGTAGGGCGATCTTGAAGGAAGGAGACATTAGTTAGTCTATTATTGACTCAGCACCGAAACTTCTATAGCTGTATATGTTATCGTACTTCCCTTTAATATTTACAATCGACGAAGCATATAAATACTTAAATAGTCTTGGCCCTTGGTTTCTAATTGTGTTGCGGTGAATCATTTAAACCAAACCTCAGGGAGTATGCTGAAGGTCAAAGTCCTAATTTCAGTTTTACATAATCACCTTTCTTCAAACAATGTCTATATTATTGTAAAAGTAAATGGTGAAAACTCCCTATTACCTTTTTATTCCTTCTAAATTCTAATGTGAGAATTTGGTTTCCTCATGGTACATCAACTTCAAGTTACTTTTCATATCATTCAATTTTGCATCCAAATGCCCTACACCATGGTGATACAAAAATTATATTTTTAGTTATCAACTTATAATGTACCAACCTCTTTTATAGAGGGAATTTTCCACAGCTTTACAGAGATCTGGAGTTTTCTCAATGGTAATTGTGTGTCCCGGAAACAGGCCAAACAAGTGTGATACATGCCGATGGTGCACTTCTGGGTCCTCAAAATCTTGTGCCTGCAATATAAAAAAGATACTTGTTAGTTTACAATTAATTGACAATTCTGTACAAAAACTTCATCACAAATTATATAAGACCTGGGACCAGATTCCCAAGAAATCGAATATAAGACCTCTGGCTTACCCATTCCATAATGGAACCATCTCTAGCAATTTTTGTGGGTAAAAGCCTAGGTTGAGCCTCACGAACTTTCTGAACAACAGCATCCTGAGTTCCTAAAACCTGTTTTTCAGGAATTACTGTTATACAAACCACAGTTTATGTAGCTACGTAGGAATACATACTAGCATAAAATTAGAGAACAACCTCAGCAGCAGAAAGTGTTGCAGAAAAAACTTCTTTTATGATTGATAAGTCCATGGTTGATGAGTAGCTCACACTGGCCTGCTTACCATCAGGAGCAATAAACATGTGCTCTGGAGAAGTTGATGGGTTGGTTTCAAGATACCCTCCACGGCCTTCAATCAACCAATCCAGCAGAAATAATGTACATCCTTCCAACAAAGGATATGCCTTATTTTTCAGAAAATCCTAATGGCGTAGAAAAAAATTAGCAATAATTTACCTACTGGAAAACCTGAGTCAGATAAGATAAGCAACATATATAAACAGTAAGTTCCCTACAAAATACAACCATATAACTAACATTCACTTGTACCTAAGTGCTTTCAGGAGCCTGAATCCCTGGTCCCCACATAACATAACATCAGAAAAAACAAATCTTGGGTTGATTACTTTAATTTAAGTAAAACATCATTTGTTTTTGCAGGCTTCATCTTTAAGATATCAGGAGCTTACTTTGTCCATTGTATAAGTATAATGTTCCCATAGATGAGTACAAAGCCAGGCTCCTCCCATTGGCCATAACGCCCACACAGCTTGACCTCGATCTGGAGACGTTTTGGCCCATATGTCAGACACTTGATGCACAACCCAACCGCTGGCTTCGTAGTTCACCTGAATTGTGCTAGGTATATTACTAAGAAAAGTAATGCACAGAGAATCAAGAAATTGCAGCAGGTAGATTCCAAACAATTATTTGAATCTTCTCAAATTCAACTCAGCATGCAGTAGAGTCAAAAGGTTATGGAAGGCTTTTAATATAAACTAGAAAGGCAGAATTCTTACCTTTGCAGTTTTACTCCCATTGATAGATAAAGAAGATGTGTAATCAAATAAGGGCTCCTGACATTCTCTTAGGTTACAAGGAAGGGAAGGCCAATAGTTCATTTGAAGATTTATATTCAAATGCTGAGCACCACTGCAAGTACAAAGTTGAAGTAAGTAACCACCTCATATTATTGTGAAATCTATGTGGAATAAAAGGGCAGCAAATTACTTAGAGAGAGAGAGAGACATACTCCCATGGAGGCTCAATATCCTTGTTCCATATACCCTGCAGGTTTGCCACTTGAGTTCCAACCCGTGAACAAGAAATAAGCAGATATCGACCATATTGGAATAAAAGTTCCACAAAGGAAGGATCTTCATCAGTTTTGAAGGATTTCACCCTGTCAGCAGTTGAAACTGAGGCATCATCACTTCCCTTTAAATTTGAACTGCTTATAGGGGTAAGTTTCTTTGGCTCCAAAGTTTTATCTCCTAAAATTTTCTTAGAGATCTTAGAAAGCTGCAATGAGACACGATGAAAAAGATTCTGATAGTCATCCAAATGGTGAGCATAAAGATCAGAATATGAAAAATTTCTTATAGAGTTCAATGCATTGAGAGACTCTGAAGTTGGGTTCCTCTTAGAAGCAGAAGCCTTAGAAAATGGTCCTTCAAATGAAGATGAGGCCACCAGAAGCAAAACAGCCCAATCACACCCTTCAACCTTTAATTTCTTGTCATCCAGAACATGTATCACACCACTGCCACCACTAATCTGCAAATCAAGGACCGCGGAAAACTGAATCCCTTTCGGATTGTCATTCAAACTCAAGAATTTTGGTGAGATCCTTTTTCCAGGACAACTTCCTTCTATTATAATTTGGTTTTTACCATTTGCATGTGAATTATGATGTAACTTGCTGTCTAGAGAAACTGTAAATGTTAGGGACCCTGATTTGCTTCCAGAGATCTTCGTCACAATCACTTGATCAGGATTAGATGAAAAATGCTCCCTTGTATATTCTACATCACCCACTGAGTATTTGATCCTTGCTGTTGCAGTATCCAGGTCTAGCTCTCTGCTGTAACTTTCTTCAGCATATTTGAGGTGAGAGTCATCAAATTCTAGGTTGATGTCGCCCAATAGTTGGTAAACCTTCATCAAAAGAAGTAATTATTAGGAAATTTATCCCAGATATCAGAAGCCTCCACATGTAATTTCTAGTACCATTGGTAACAATAAGCTTGCATTAATACAGCGATTAAGCATAAGCTCTGAATTATGAAATTAAACTTACATTTAATGTACAAAATGATAACGAAATTTCAAAACAGAAGTCTACAAGATAGAATATTTTGTAATCTATGTCTCTGATGAAATTAAGATCCCACTATCAACCATAATCAGCAAAAATTAGTATATGCACTGAATTGCAGACCTCATTTTATAACATTACTATGCGCTTAACATCTAGTCATATTCACTACGATCATTTTTATTGAGTAACAAAATGAAAAAGATTTAGTAAAGCTGATGAAGTTACATACATCAGAAGGATCTCCTGACAACTTGACTGCTGCTTCAGTAGCTTCAACATATTTACCACTGTCAACAAGTTTTCTAACCTCTGTGAGTGCCTCTGGAGCCTTTGGGTTGGTATAGTTCCCAGGAGTTCCTGTCCAGAGTGTGTCCTCTACAACAATTTAAACTTTATGCAATGAGTTTTACTATAATTTTACAGTGTGTGTGTTTGAGAGACACTTAGAAATTGCATTCCAAGTTTTAATCCCTTCAAGCATTCCAAGTTTTCAAGTCCCAATTCAGGATCAGTCAGAAAATGCAATTGAACTTGAATATGACTTTGTTCTGTTTCCCTTGTGATCTTGGTAACCCACCAAATAATATAAGAAAATAAAATAGCAAGAGAAAAAAAGAGACCAAAACTTTGAAAACCACAAAACTCACACAACCAAGCATTTCAAATCTTGAAGCAAACAGAACCCAAAACACAGAAAACCCAACAGCATAGAACTTATCATTAACACAATGCAAGAAAAGATTTGTACTTCACCATTGAGTTGGAGTTTTTCTGATGCCACACCACCCCACACCATGGCTCCAAGCCTCCCATTCCCGATTGGAATAGCATCAGTCCAATGCTTGGCAGGCCCAGAAAACGTAACCTTCAAAGGCTTAGAACTCTCCTCCTCCACTAAACTTGGGGCCCACAGGTCCTTCTCTGCAGGCTTCCTCACCAGAACCCACTCGGCATCTTCCATTACACACACAAAAGAAAAAAGTCCGACAGGAAAGAAGAAGAAGAAGGAGGAGAAGAAAAGGCTTTGGACTTTGTTTAGGCCTAGAGCTATGGATTTATTATCCGTGGGTGAAATGAAAGAGTGACAGAAGAAAGTGCAGAAGAAACAGAGGTGGGGTTGGGTTGGTGAATAGCTTTGAATTCACACGGCATGAGAATTTTTTGGTTAAGTAAACCAAAACAAAAGGTCCCGCGGCATGGCATTGTTTGTTTGTTTGTTTGTTTTTAACTTCCTCTGAAAAGCTTTCTTCCTTTTTTCTTTTCTTTTACCATGAGTCTCTGGGAATATTACTGATAATGACATGTGTAGAGCACATCGTTTATGTGTTGCCATCAATTAAAATGTGCATGTTAGTAACATTATGCTAATGGAATGTATTGAATCTACTACAATTGCTAATGTTCGTGTTTAAACTTAAAAAAAATAGGTCATAGAAGACTTAAAACCAAACAAACACAACAACTAATTCTTCTCGTGACTTGAGTTAGTTTTATGCATATGTGGATTAGATCAGTTAATTAAAGCACGTATTTTCCCCTTTGTACTCATCTTCGATATTTTTTCAATATTTAAATAATGTGATCTTGTTAAAGAAGGAAATCAAATGTAGTATTTCGGATGCAGGATGGTACATTTAACCATTTGAACTACAAATTCATTGATTTTATTTTTATTTTTATTTTCATTTTTATTATAAATAAATAAAAATAATAGAAAAAGGTCAAGTAGGTCTAAAAGACTGTAGTTGCACGCGGTCTGTTACAGAGGTGACGATAATAATGAACGAGCGAACCCAGAAAGATTTGTGTTTCTTTTTTTCTCTTCTTCCCGATGTTTGGCGGTGAATATGTTAAATGCATGTGTTAGGTTGGCTCCAAAATAAAAAATAAAAAATTTGATTAGTGATTAGAGTATTAGACACATTGTTCGTGCGCGACCAGAAAACAAAATATCAATGTAATATCTTAGAATATTGAGGAATATTGTCAAATAAAATAATTTTCCATTTTTTTTTCGTGCAGCTAATCGAGAAATGAACTGCTCGGAAAAGGAAGAAGCTTCTATTCTTCTCTCTCTTCCATTGAAATCCAGAACTTCATCTAAACAGAATTCAATATTTTAATAGTCAATAACACATAAGATTTACCACTAAGATAGTTTATAAATGTTCAAGGCCATAACTGATTTGCTCACATAACTTTACAATATGAGACTACTTGGGCATTTAAGCAAAAAAAATGCCATGCAAACCAGTTCTGTCCATGCTCAGCATACAGTATGTAGTACTAAGGCATCATCATCCTTATCATCTGCTATGGATAGCTTGTCAAGAGGGGGCATAAGATCTGATTCATTTGCAATCTTGATTCTTTTCTTGAGAGCATCAAGCTCAGATTGCAGAGTTGATAGTTGTGAAGTTAGCTCTGATTTTTCCCTACCCCATTCAGTCCTCTCACAGTCCAGTTCCTGTTGAATTTCATTTAAGCTTTCTTGTAGTCGAATGCACTCATGACGGATAAGATTTTGCTCATCGGTCTCCCTATCGCCCGTTGGAGCTGGTTCATCCGACCAACGAAAGAATTCACATTGCTAGCAGTATTAAGAACAAAATTAGTTGGGTCAAAAAGGTTATCTGAACAATGTAGTTTTGATTCTATATTCAGAGAAAAGCATACTTACTGCAGATATACCCTTTGGACAATTATAGAATAACCTAAACGGGTTTTTTGGGGTTTGAGATAATCTCAGTTTTGCAGGAAGCCCACATAGGCATTTCAGCTCAGAATCTTCAGGGGTATGACTCCTGTAAAATGTCATTCCTGTTGAATTCAAACATTCTTTGTGAGAAAATGTTAAGTAAAGGAAAATTTCTCATAAGAAGCTCCATCTAAGAGGATAGAGGTTGGGTTTTCTCATAGGCAGTCATGTTGAGAATCAGTCACCATTTCCATGGGGCATACACAACATTGATGGATTCTTTCTAAATGCCAACGCAAGAGCATCCTCATGATGTTATTTGAAACCACAAGTCTCATGTTGTGAATGATATCTACCATTAAAGAAATAACAATAGACATCCCTGGTTGTCCAGTACATTCAACTGGCAAACAAACAACTAGAACTATATGGTGAACACCTATATGAAGAAAAATTAAGAATACTTGAAGGCCTGAAGCAAAAAGCCATATGTCTACGCTAATACCCTTGAAATTTCTTGTCAGCTATCTATTTGTGTTATGTTTGGAAGAAAAAAAATTGCAAGCAGTAGCAGTTCAACAAAATAATAGCCCTGATTTGGATGTTTTCTAGAGAAGCTACAAGTTCATGTAACAAAAATGAACATAGATATGGTCAGTGCACATTCTGAAGTGTCCAGATCACAAGCTAGCATAACCCAACTAGCATCTCAGTATGGACAGTGTCACCGAGAAGAAGGAAATCAAATGCCTCTATTAGAAAGAATTCTATCTTCTAGATAATCAGAAAATTCCTTAGCTTAAGTGTAGGATGGGTACTACTAAAGCAAATTAATTCTAAGCTCTATGTGCAATGGTATGTGCTAAGCTCTTGTGCAGCATTATGTCATACTGTCATATTCATTCCAAAACAAAACCCAGCCTAGAACCACATAAAATTGTTTTCAGCAAAAGAAGCAGAGGCAAGGGCACCAGATGAGAAAGTTGAACAAATTTCAGTAGCTTTACCTCAACTGCAGGGATTTCCTCAACAAATGAGAAAATTTGACAACAAGCAATATAAGAAACTCTAAAATGCTCAAAGGGAGCTGCTTTTCAGACAACAATTTGAAATCACAGAATTGCCAGATTTGATCACTTTATTTTGTCACTCACACTCCATGTGTTTGAATGAACAAACTTAGAGCCTGGCTGCTATAGTGACTGATCCACAGCCAGCATTGCACCCAAATTTGGTACATGTACGGGTCTCATCCACAACCGAAATTTAGCAATAGCGAACTAATGAGTATGTTAAGCCTTATAAAGAACCAGTTTAAGCCTTATTTACCCATCATAAATTATGTTCAGCATTGTATTTTCAGTATTGGATAAGCATAAAAAGTTAAGAACCATCTTAAACTTATGGGATTTTATTGTACTTGTGTGATCAAATATTGGGTTTTTACAGTGTTTTATCAGGTGACTAAAGTTATAACTTACGAGTAACAAAAAAGATAAATATAGCAATTAGACTCCATAGACAGTAAAAAAAAAAAAAAGGGCGAAAATTGCAGCATAATCTTTGAAAGTTGAAAACTTGAAATCAATCTAACGGGACAATGCAACTATACAAACATACGAAAAAGGCCTGGCCAACAGCAATCACAATTTGTTAAAGTTGAAATTTTTCAGATACTGAGAAAGAAAAATAAAACGTCATCCAAAAAAACACACAAAACAAAAGATCACGGACCTGAAGGGGCTGATGTGAGATACGTATCAACCATCAGCTTCTGGGGAAAAAACCCATTAGCTAACAACTACAAGGCCTTGGGGCTCAACCTCATCAAGCTCACACAAATCACAATGGGGACCTTAAATTTAATGGGTAAACTTGCAGAAAGATTGGAACTTTTAAGGGTTTTGGGCTGAAAAGAAATTATACTACTACCTATCTTTTCCAATTCTCGTTATTCTCTTCTACTTTAGTGACACCTGTACTCCCTGTATTTGCTAATTTTACTTTATCCCATCATTCTTTTAAAAAGAATTGGGAAATTGAAAAAGAAAAAGAAAAAAAAGGAGTTAAAGAAAAAGAAGACCTTCAAATGGGTAGTGGCGTCTCCTTGGATGCTGCAGAGAAGCTTGAAGAGATGGTTGTTGTGGCAGTGGTTGTTGGTGGGGAACATGCCCTGTAATCAGCTGGCCAAACCCATTGAGTGTAGCCAAAAGTGATGCAAGGGCCAGATCAACCAGAGCCAGGAGCAAACCCAAAACAGAATTATGAGCAAGGTGCTCATTTTGTTGTATAATATTTATCTAAGCCTGCAGTGCAAGAGGTTGAGCCTTAAGTGGGAAGATTGCTTGCTTGCCTTTGGCTTGGAAATAGGTCTTGTGTTCGAAATTCCTTCATCAATTATCAATATTGATTATATAAAGAAAACATACATTCTCAAGTGTATATCTCTCTTTGATAGGATCCTAAGGGCTTTTTAGTCATTTGCAATCTAATGGACAGCTGTCATTGTATGACTATATTAAGTGGTTAATTAGTATTAGCAAGAATGTTGAATTGTATTGTTTTTGTTCGAGTAATAAAGTTGTTCTCACTTTTGGTATATCGAGTTTAGGTTGAACGGGGTTTATCATTGGTATCAGCCAATAGTCCTACGCTTCTCTTCTCGTGTATGTTTCAAAACGACATGAACGACACATTAACTCTGGCCATGGAAGCCAACTTCGATCGGATGGACGCCCTCCTGGCTCAAATCTTGAAGCGTGTCAAGGCCTTTGATTTTAAGATTTCTTTATCATGTACATAGTTGAACTAGGATGAATTATGTATAATCAAACTACACAATGCTTTGCTATATATCATAAGTTAAAAAGAAAATTACACTTTTATACATAGTGAGAAGTACCGCAACATGAAAATATAGATTAGGTGAAACCTACAAGAGCCTAGCTAGGTTTGATACAACAACCCCAAATCAAAATAAAGGAGAAAAAAAACACTACTATATAAATCTAACATAAAAACTTCATATGTTATATCTACTTATTCTAACCCTAATCTTTGATCATACACTCAATTTACCAATAATCAAAGGCAAATCAACCTCATCACACCACTCCACACACCTTGTCTCAAAATATGAACTGTTCACCTCATTAGGCCAATAGCTCAACCAAACTTTCCCTCCTATTCTCCACTTGAGCACACTCCCTTCCATCTCTCTGTTCAATCTCCACCCAACCCCATCCCCATACTCATCCCCACTCAACACCAAACTCCCCTTTTTAGTAAACGGCCTATTTGCTCCACTGTATCGCTGTCGCAAACCGTCGCTCTGCTCCCCAATAGCCGGGTTCCACGTGGCCACCTCATGACCCGTCATGTTGTCGCACAGCACCGCATCGAATACGGCCGCGTTTCCCTCAGCGTCCTGGTCCCACCTCCAGTTCCTCTTCCTCATCCTCGTCGACACCCCAGCCGCGCTTTTCACTTTCGGAACCTTTGATTTTGCGAAACTGCCCTTCGTAATCCTCTGCGTTTTGACTTCTCTCTCTCCGTTATCAGTGGACCGGCCCAAACTCAACCCGTTCACGTAATTCGCCCCGACTTCTGGCCCGACCCAGACCCGGACTCTCGACGGGAAATACTTCTCTTCCGCGTAGTCCACGTCATCGTTTTTGTTGAATCCGAGGTTCACCACGTGGAAGCGCAGGTTGTCGACACGTGCAGTCACCTGAATAAACCCGTCGTAAAACCCCACCGAATATTCCACCTGAACAACCGCCTCCAGCTGCTGGTGCGCCAAGGCGTATTTTAGCACCGAGTCTCTAGTTTCCAAAGCCGGAAACTGATTCTTCTGGTTCAAGTTGACGGAGCGTGTGGTTCTCATCCCCATCACCGGCGCGTAAGCCTTGAGCACCCAAAACCCGCAAGCTTCCGTCGCGTAAGAGAACCCCAAGTTCTGCGACGGCGATGACGTCAGCGTCTGCAAGCCTACACCCACCTCTCTTAAAATGCACCACTTTGCTAACATGTACCCAACGGTGCGCATGAAGCAGAGCTCTGCGTCCAAGCCGACGGTGATCAGAAACTTCCGGAGAGCCGGCGCTTGCTTGCACAGCAAGGCTTCGAGGTTGGGAGCCAGCAAGGATTTGAAGTACAGAGAGCCGACTTCGGTCGGCGAGTCGCACGCGCAGAGCCAGAAGAGGCGCGTGACGAAGACGAGGTCGAAGAAGGTGGAGAAGGACTCGGGGGAGTGGGAGTCCATGATCCAGGAAAATGGGTCGGGTTTGAGAGTCTGGAGCTGGGAGCGCGGGCAGGTGCTATCGTGAGCGGTGGGGGAGCGGGATATGATTTCTCGGAGGAGCTGGAGCAACAGGGGGAGGTAGGGTTTGTCTGAGGAGAGTGAACACGTGTCAGAAACCCAGATCGTCTTTTTTGGATGGTACTGGTTGTTGAAGCCGTGCAAGCATACTGAGAAAGTCACTAGAGTGTCGATGTTGGAGCCTGTAGTGCGCTCGGCCCGGAGTTGGATCGACCGAGTTGGGTTGCTGTCGTAACTCGCTCCGGAGCTAGCGAGTTCAAAAGTATGTGGTGAGTCTGACTCGGACCACTCGGCCGAGTTGGGGAGGTCGGATATCCATGACCAAATGTCAAGCATTGCTGCTTGTGTGTGTGTGTGTGTGTTTTTTTTTTCTCTTTTGACACAAGCAATAGTGAGAAAGGAGGATTCGAATACAGGATTTCGGGAGTATCAGCTGTTGGGGTGGGAGAGAGTGTGGAGAGGTGGATGTGGTTGTGGGTTGGGTTTTAAAGAGAGAATGAATGATGCTGGAGTTGCCACCATGGAAGCAAACACCAACCAAGTATGAGGGAGGGGGGTTTTGGGCTTCACGTTAATTCGAGTGGTTTATATGCGTTTGATTATGAGGGTTTTGGATATTGGTTGGACGCATTAAATAATTTAGACGAACTTGGTTTTCTTTGCTTGTATTATTCTTTGTTTGAAAGTTCGGGTGGAAATTGTTTGCATGCAAAGCAATATGTGTAGCAAACTGAGGACGTGGGGACGTGGAATTTTAGTGTAGTTTTTGGGGTGTGGCGGCATACACGTGTAATGGGAAAGACAAATTTGATGTCCCATTGTGAATCACTCAAAAGACAAAAATAAACCAAAGGTTAAATGTTGAGAAAATGATTGATTTTGTATTTGGGTGCATTTGAACCAGTTATGTCTATTCGACTGTTGTTTGTTGTTGCTCTTGTTTTGTTTTGGGACTTTGTCCCTTTGCCAAACAACAGACTGCTTCCCTCCTTAACGATAATGAGATACTCTTCGCTTTTACGAATAACAATTTGGCATATATATAAGAATAATTTATCAAAAATACAAAAGGAAAAACTTATACACATACATAGGAACTCTTACTTTCTTGTCAATCACAGTTTGACATGTGTTTAGAGAATTTTATTTATTTTATATTTTTGATGAAATATTTTTAAATATATATCTTTACAATAAATAGAAATGCATCCTTCCAAGAAATGAAGGAAGTAATGCCCTTTTCTTGTACACCCCAAATTTTTATTTATTTATTTATTTAGTTCCCCCCCCCAAAAAAAAAAGCAACCGGCCCATATCCGGCCCAATGTAATTTTCGGCAAGAAACAGAGGCCCGTTTGTTGAAACAACCAAAGCATCGTGGAGGGGTCTTAAGTTTTAGGCGGTGATCACCGGATATTTTGGAACTGAGAAATGGAGAAAGCTTTGAGAATCTACGCAGAGGTTCTGAGATTGGTGAGGCGGTTGCCGGAGGACACGAGGCCTTACTACGCCAAGTACGCGCGCGAAAACTTCGTGAATTACAGAGAGGTCGAGGCCGGCGATGACCAAGCCCTCCACGAGCTCTTCCACAGGGCATACAAGCATTCGCTCTGGGTCCTCAACAAGGTCAACTTCTCATTCTCTTTCTCATTACACGCACTTTTCTATTGGATTTGGACAATTGGGTATGTTTATTTGTGTTTCTGATTGAAACCCATTTTCTTGTGATTGCAGTACTCTGTGGATGAATCTGCGGCGGACAAGTTGAAGAAGATCTGCTCCGCTTAGTGCGTCTGCCAAGTGTTCGTCAAAATGCCCCAAAGGGTTCTTAGCAACTTGCTTCTTTTGCAAACGTGAGTGTTGTTTTGTTGATTATTTTGACAGAGACAAGGATTTGTACTCAGTGATGTTTTAATTTTGTCTGTGAAAGAGATTGTAAACTACTTGAGTTTTGTAACAAAAGGATAATATTTTTAAAAATAAATAATTTGGTCGGATCCCCGCTTCGTTGATTTAATTTTTTTAATGTAATCTGGACTTCGAAATTTTTATTACCTTTGTTTGATGAAGGACATTCTTGACAATGGGATGGGCTAAAAACTTATGCCAGGCTTGTCAGCAAGCAAAGATGTCATACACATCACAGGAAACCGAGCCACCTCATTTTTCATGTAGTTACCAAGATTTGCAAGCTGACATGCCTTATGAAGCTTGTGAAAATATAAATCTCGATTGCAGTTATTTCCTCAATCTGAAGTTGGCACTGGAGAGATTTCCGGTCACTGCATGAACATTATCTGCAAATGATTTCTTGTCCTACAAGAACGAGCTCAAGCTCTATAAATTTGATCTACATTGTTAGAGTAGTTGTCTAATGTGATATCAAATCTCGTTTTCCACTTCTTTGTTGGTTTGTATATATAAAATAGATAAATGAACGTTTAAACTTGTCGAAACAAAATCGTCTTTTCACAAGAACTTTGTGTACATAGTTGACGTAGGAGGATCTGCCAGCAGCCAAGAGGTTCGGCGTGAACACAGTAATTTTGGGGGCAAATAGTGTATGTTTGGGGCATGATAGGGAAAAGATAATGACGAGACGAAACAAAGTCATTGATTTGCCACGACATAAGGACAATTTTGGCGTTTAATATCGTTTAGTAGGTTTCAAATAGTTTTAGAGTGAATTTAAGTTTGGAAAAGTTTTAAAGACCACAACTGGGTCAGTTGAGATTGCTGAAGCGCAGGCAATTATTGAGGGACTGTCCTTTGCGCTGTAAAATGGCATCACTCATGTGTGTGTGGAGTCTGATTTAAAGAAGGTTATTGATAATTGTGTTGGGAAAATTACCAGAGGGGACTGGGGTATCTACCCTTCTTTATGTCGGATACAGGATTTTAAGTCCAAGTTTTCTGCTGTTCGTTGGACTTGGATCCCAAGAGAAGCCAATGCGGTTGCGGATGCTGCGGCGGCGATTGCTGTTGGAGGGATGAGTACGGAAGTTTGGGTCGATCGGCCCCCATCCTCCCTTGTTCATGTTCTGTCTCGTGATGGGCTTCCTTGCCCACCGTAGGCTTTGTTTTGGTGATGAACTTCTTGACTGCTGACACCTGTTTCCATCTACAATGTGTCTGGTCTTCTATCCTAGCTCTATTTTTGCTGTAATTCTGGGTCGGCTTGGTTGTTTTGGTTGCCTTTGGTTTTTGGCTTAGTGTAGGCTGTTGTGTCTTGGCTTATTTTGTTCTGCTCTGTTTCTCTCTTTGGTTGTTTGCCTAATGAAATATTCAGTTTTTTTTTTTTTTTTTTCCCAGCGTACCAAACAACGCCTAATAGTTTTATGAAAGATAAAAAAATTTACAATCATCACTTAGAATATGATGATGTGGGTTGTGGCTGTGGGCATCCAAAATCTTGTACACCCCTCATTCCATATGTTCGTCTGAAGAAAATATAATCATATGGTCTGGTTTTGGGACCCCACAGTCAAAGTTGGTGACTTCTATACTTCCAGTCGTACCAAATGACAAGACGTTCGGCTCTCACGAGAATTGCAAGATGAACGTAAAAGTTAAAACAGAAATTAGTTCTACAAAAAGAGGAAAATTCGATTCTGATTTTAGAGAAGGACTTTTAAGGGTTCGTTCGTTTTCTTCTAATAATGTGTTGGATTTTTCTGGTATTGGGATGCGTGGATGGACAAAAGAAGGGTGCATTTCTAACATGTTGTTGATTGATATGAGAGAAGGATCATTGCATTTCTATCACCGACCAATTTAACATCTTACATTGTCAATAGGGTAGATAATCTCCAATGGAAATATGCTATATGAGATTTTAATTCTATATTCGACACCAAATTTAAGAGCCGAATGAGATGATGTTAAAAGTTATTCCATTAATGGTGCTATTTTGAAAAGGAGATTATATAAGTTTACCAACATGATGCTAAATTGGTATATTAGAGTTGAAAAGTGGAAAGTGCGCCAAAGTATAGGATACTTTCATGTTACTTTATTAAACCGTTGACATACTTGTTTAAATGCAGATGACTCTTACGTTTAGTTACACAGAACGAGAGTGAATTAGAAGCATGCCAGATTCACAATAGAGTCAAAATACATCAACAAACATTAATCATTCACACACCCATATCTACATTAAGATCCACATGCATCAATCAACAAGAATCAGTCATACTCCACACACAATTGACCCTGGCATCATCATTAAGTACCTATGTGAGAACATAAACAAGTTAATTGAATAGAACATTAATGAATCTAAAATCACTTCCGTTACATTATGTTTATAGAGAGGACGAAAGGTGACGAAAGAGGAGAGCGTTTTTGAGTTTGGGGTTAGGCAACAACGCGTTGGAGCTCGAAACCACGGTTTTCTCGGGCCAGGTGGGTTTGACCAAAGTCGCCGAAAACCAAAGCCAAGCCTTGGAAAGCCCAGCCACACCCTCCTTTCTTCTCAGCCCACCCCAACCATCCTCTCTCTCTCTCTCTCTCTCTTCTACTGTAACGCCTCTAAACACCTTCACACTCTCACATAGAGAAACAGAACAAAAACAGAGCACTCTCTTTCTTCTCTCCCTCTCTCTGTTATCAACAAGAAGCTTCCGTTGTTTTCTCCTAAAAACCCCTTCGTTCTAATCAAACCTTTTACTTTCTCTCTCTTTCTCTCTCTCTGAGACCCAAAAGCTTCAAACTTTTGGGTTTTGTTTGTGGGGTTGATATGGCGGAAAATGATGGTTTAGAGGGGGACCATTTGGCTGTCACAGAGGGGACTAGTTTCTCTCAGTTACTCTTCGCTGCTGATGAGGTTTGTGGTCTTGGCGTGGACGACGAAACCTTTAACTACACCCATTCATCTGCTTATTCCACCCAGATTAAGCCACCCAAAATGCTCTGCTTCGGGAACTATGATCATAACCATGGCGATGGTCTGGAAATTGGGTTTTCAGAGACTGCTAAGAAATCAGGGGTTACATGCAGCGATTCCTCCTCTGTTTATTCAACCAGCAACACAAGCATCAACGCATTGCCCAAATCCAACAATGTCAGTGATCAACAAGTTCTTAATTCCTTTTTTAATTTTTAATTTTTAATTTAATTTGTTTTCCTTTACGATTTTGTGATGCTTTTTGGGTTTAATGGCAGAAAAGGAGAAATGGGTTAGGCCAAGAGTCGGTGCAGTGTGCAAGCACCATCAGCACAACGATGGTTGCAAGCCAGAGAACCTCCAAGAAGACGAAATCTGAGAATCACACATCGACAGGCAACGCAAAGGTCAGAAATTTCAACAAGAAACACAAAAAAACTAATCTGCACCATTGCATGCCCCCCTGTCTCTCCCTCACTCACACTCTTTGCATGCTATGCTCTCTGTATTTTCTGGCAAGATTTTACCAAATGGGTTTGAATTTTTCTGCATCATAGAGGAAAGAGAAGCTTGGAGAACGAATTGCAGCTCTGCAACAACTTGTATCACCCTTTGGCAAGGTCAAATTCCAAAACCCAACTTGACCCAGATAGT